GCTCTCCCTCTCCGTCTTCGTCCCGTGTCTCTTTCTCCCTCCTCTTCCTCTCTCCTTCTCCGCTTATCCCCAACCCGCCTCCTCCTGCCTCATCCTCTCCAGGCTTCTGGCGACGTGATTTCTTCTCAACGTGGCTCCCTAGCGTTCTGGACCCCTTCCTGGAGACCGGTTTTTCATCTGGGGCCGTCTCTTGTGACGGTCCTGGGCCCAACAAGAGCCTTGGGAGGCCGAATATTGGCAAGCACTTCCCGTCGCGTTTTTTTTTTCTCCACCTCGCGAGGATGCCTTCCTCCTGGTGGCCACGGCCCAAGGTTTCGGCTGGGCCTCCCCAGATCGGCCCGTGTGGGATTCCCTGAGCACTCGTCCCTACAAGACCAACGCCAGGTCTGCTCGGGGCCGCGTCGTTGAGCGGGGCCAGACAGGCTGGACTCAGAAATTTGATCCAGAAGGCTCGGTAGGCTTCAGTCGGGCCTGTCCATCCACAGGAGTAATATTCAAACATAGTCGCAAAATAGTCGGGGGACGATTTTCCTATTACTTTTGACTACTTCGGGGTATTGTTTGACTTTTGTTTTTTGTTGTTGCTGTTTTTTTTTTCCGTCCAACCTCCGCCTGTAGGAGGACATGCCCAACCTAACGATGTGCCCGAAGCGCCTGTGGGAGCCTGCAGGGCTGCTTCTACAACAAGTGGTGAGTGCCGTGGTGCTCGAGCATCCCCAGTCTGTTGTGCACGTCGGTTTAACCCGCCGTTCCAGGGGCGAGTCGTGTCGTGTCGTGTCGTATCCTCCGACGGCCTCATCCGCTTTCTCCTCCTCCCCCCCTCGTTTCCCATGTCGCGAGGATGTCCTCCTCTCTCCTCCTCCTCCTCCTCCTCCTCCTCCTCCTCCTACTCCTCCTCCTCCTCCTCCTCCACACACCACCACCTCCACCTCCACTCTCTCCTCCCTCCCTCCCTCCTCCTCCTCCCTCCCTCCTCCTCCCTCCTCCTCCCTCCCTCCTTCCTCCTTCTTCCTCCTTCCTCCTCCTTCCTCCCTCCTCCCTCCTCCCTCCTCCCTCTTCCCCCGTCCCTCATCCTCTTCCGCCCCCTCCCTCCTCCCTCTCCGTTGAGCCTCGCGCCAGGTGACCCGCCTGTGCGGCCGAGTGAGTCTCGGGGTCCCGACCTGCAGAGGCAGGCGGAGGCTCGGGGCTTCTCGGGGCGTCTCGGACGCCCTCCGGCCTCCGGAGAAGCCGTCTCTGTCTTCGGGGAAGGCGCAGACAAGTCCTCAGAATACCAGTGTCCTGCCGAGCCTTCTGAGAAGGCCCGCCCCCTCTCAGTCGCCCCCCGGGCTTGCTGCCGACTCTTACAGTCAGATCAGACTTTCTTGACACGAGCCTCGCCAGCTGTACCACTGTTTAGAGGCCGCATTTGCCGATGTGGAAGGAGCATCCTCCTCCTCCTTGTCCCTTTTCCTCCTTCTCCACCTTCTCCTTTCCTCCTCTGGAGCCTCTGGAGCCTCGGACAAGTCTATCCCTCACGCGGGTGAAAGATAGCCTGCAGAATTGTGGAAAAGGGGGCTCAATGGACAGGAAAGGGGGTACCCACCACCTTCTTGCTGGTAGGGTCCTTCCCCTTCTCGAGCTCCTTCAGAGCTCTTCTGCCCCATTCGCCTGGCCCTCTGGGAGGGCACTCCTTGGCCAAGCCTTTCACCTGACCAGTGCCATAGCTCTCACATCTTGCACAGAAAAACGTAGTCCCACACACCCACATTCGATGGGAGGGGTGGGCCCTGGCAACTATCCTCGGGGTACCTGGGCAGCGCTGACTGGTCACGCGTTCTCTTCGGAGCGAGCTCTGACCACACAACCGACAGCCCCATCTACCCCCTTGCTTATGAAGGAGGTGCCCATTATCCCCCTTTACAAGTTTAAGAGTACACAGTAATTCACCCGCTACCTTTTGCTTTTCAGGCCTCTTCTGGACCTTTGGCATATCATCTACATCTGGAAAACCTTGCCTACTGAGATTATACAAAACACCTGACAGGAGTCTAACAAACTTAATCCCGAACTGCTCAGCGGCTCTGAGACGTTCTAGGATCTGGGGTTGGGACGGGTGGCCCATAGCACCTAGCTTAGCGTACCTATCGGCCTCAGAATTCCCAGCATGCCAGTGTGGGGGAAAACCGTTCCTGCTCAGCCACGCCTTGGATTTATGGGACGGCATCCAGACCAGCTCAAAGCTTTCTCTCCCCACGTCTTCGATTTTCCAGAAAATCAACCTCCAAATCTCAAAATACGGTTGGGACGGAACCCACATTATTTCAGCTCCTTTGTCCACGGACAGCAGCAAGTTCTTATGATCGGTGATGATGACCGCCTTCGGCCCCATCAAGCACAGGGCCATATAAAAGGCGAAATGTTCAGCGAGCCCTGCACTCTGCACCACGCCAGGCGTGGGGCCATACCACACAAGTCCTGCTTCGCGGGATCCTGGAACCAAGGTGCAACACGACCATCCCGAACGGGTTTGCCACTCCACTTCAGGATTCAACCCCGATCCATCGATGAAAATCTCCAACCCCAAGTGGCCCCTGGGCCCCAGTCTTTTCTGGAAATTATCTTCAGCCTCGGATCCCACGAGCGGTGGAGGGTATTCGTCACGTCCCGAGCCTGTAACGCCATACTCGACAAGCGGACAATCTCCTGCTTCCCGACTGATATCCACAAGCTCGGCCATATCAAGGTCACGCCGCCACGCAGCCTGACCATCACATTCATATATACGGTGCCGAATGGTGCCTGCCTGAGCTCCACACCTTCGACACAGGTTGGATATGGAGTATCTTTCACAATACAGCTTGCTCTGGGTCCAAAGGCCTCCAGCAAGATGAGTGACAACTAAATCTGCCTGAATATGTTCACCCCGTCCCCTCATACGCTGCAGCTCCTGCTTAATGTGATCCAAATACGGCATACAGTCCCACCCAAAGTGCTTCTGCGCTTGGATCTCCTGGGCCCTGCGGAGGCTACGATGGATGTGGCTCTTGAGGGTCTGGAGGCCTATATCGAGGAGGTCCACCACGAGTCCCTGGGCATCTTTCCACGTCACATAGTCTACCGCCACCCAACCCATGCGCACGAGGGTCTGGATAACAGCGCCAGCTGGACCTATCACCGAGCTCCACCCAGCCTTGGACGAGGCCGCGGCCGCGTCAAAGATGGTGGAAAGCAAATTCCGAGGAAGCCAGTCTTGTCGCAGTGCGGTATACCATGTTAATAGCGGTAACGTATTGACGACGAACGACGGGTCGAGGTCATACGGATCCGTTAATAAATACTGCACTGCACGTGAGCGCCCCTTAGCCTTCCCAAACAACACAAAGGATGCAACATATCGTAAACTGGCCAAGTCCGTCGTCGACATCCCCTGGACCCTTATACCATACGTTGCTGCCGCCATCCCTCCTGCCCGAAATACACGTTTCAGTCCCCTTCGGTGATGCTTAATCGAACGAAACCTACCAGCTCGCTTCCGAACAGACCAAATCCTCTGCCTGAGTGTCTTATTCCCCTTCCCGAACTGCATCCCGAAATCGTGCCCGAGATTTTTCACCGAGGAATACGCTCTAAATCAGTACCTAGACAGGGCCTTCTGCAACTTCTGGGCAAGCTGGTCACTCGAGGCCACAATCTGGCCCTTCTTCCTGGAGATGACCAAACCTAACAGCTCGAGACGACGACACAGGTCAGGCACGGCTGTGGCGATTTTCAGCTCCAAGTTCCGCATGGAGCCTATCGCTTCGACGGTGATGTCATCCACCATCACATATAGAGTGAGCGAACTCCAACGTTCCTGCATATACTTCAAAGAATCGTGCAAGATGACCCTCAGGAGCGTCGTGGCAAAGGAACATCCTGCTACGATGGATCTCGTGATCTGGATAGTGTCGGACACAATCTCACGCACTTTGATACGACGCTTACCACCATACACCATGAGCAACAGCCTGATACGACGCAAACTAAAGTTATGCTTCACACACGCGTGCCACAATACATCGTGCGGGATCTTCTCATAGCATTTCTCCATATCTATAAGAGCCGACGCTGACGACGCTTGTATTGCTTTGGCTGACTCGACCGACGCTGCTTGCTGCCATATCGCTCTCTCACAGTTCTTCCCTTTCGCCCCATAGATACATTTCAGCTCGTGTGCTCGCTCCCACTGTGCTGCTTCATACCTACGGATACGGCTTAGTACTCTGATCGCTGTCGCCAGGATGCCAATGGGTCTGTAGCCACCATCTGGCTTCTGCAAGAAGGCAATCAGCGACGTGTCGCACTGCACTGGGATCAGCAAGTGCGTCTCCACACACGAAAGAAACTTGGCATACACCTCGAGCGCCTGATCGCTAAGCTTCCTCAACGCAGCAGGGCTCCACCCATCAACTCCTACGGCTGTGTTCTTTTTGAACCGTTTGAGGGCTCCCTTGATCTGCTCCAGAGTCGGGACTGGTGGGGCTTCTCCAAGGGGTAGTCCTAGGTGTTCTGCCGTGAGTCGGCTGGGCTCTCCTTCGTGCCATATGCTCCTCCACTCCTCCAGAAGGGACTCGACGGTGTCGACCTGGCCTGCGGGACCTCCAGAAACTCCAGTGGGGTCGGGAGCCCACCCAACGGGTTCTTTGGTGTACTTAAACACAGCCCCGCCACCAACCGCCAGTGAACTATTCACCCAGTCCCTCCAAACCCCCTCCTCCTCCTCCTCCTCCTCCTCCTGCAGCTCCTCCTCCTCCTCCTCCTCCTCCTCCTCCTCCTCCTCCTCCTGCAGCTCCTCTTCCTCCTCCTGCAGCTCCTCCTCCTCCTCCTCCTCCTGCCTCCTCCTCCTCCGCCTTCCTCCTCCTCCTCCTCCTCCTCCTCCTCCTCCTCTGCCTCCTCCTCTCCTCCCTCCTCCTCCTCTCCTCCTCCTCCTCCTCTCCTCCTCCTCCTCCCCTCTCCCCCTCCGCTTCCCAGACCCGAGACAGGGCTTCCACATGTGCGGGGACAGCACCTTCCCGGGCATCGGAGTCCCCGCGGTGGTGATGAGCGGGCACATCTGCGCGAACAACATCCTCTCGCCGTGGGCGCCTTGGGGCGCGCAGCAGCCCTCCCCCTCTGCGCGAGGCGGGCCACGAAGGTCGCGGGCGATTGATCGCCTCCAAGGCCCCCTCCTCCTTCTGCTCCTCCTTCCCCTCCCACTCGCGTCCTCCCAACTCACTCCTCCCCCCATCCCCAGTCTTCTCCTGTCCTCCTCATCCTCCCTCCTCCCTCTTCCTCCTCTTCCTCCTCCTCCGCCGTCTTCGTCCTCGTCCTCCCTGTCCGTTCATGCTCCTCCTCCTCCTCCTCCTCGTCCTCCTTGTCCTCCTCGCCCTCCTCTTACTCCTGCTGCTGCTGCTGCTTCTCCTCCTCCTCCTCCTCCTCCTGTTCCTCCCTCTTCGTCCTCGCCCTCCTCCCCCCTCCTTCTTCCTCCCCCCCTCCTCCTCCTCCTCCTCCTCCTCCTCCACCTCCTCCTCCTCCTTCTCCTCCTCCTCCTCCTCCTCCTCCTCCCCCTCCCCCTTCTTCCGTCTACCCCTCGTCCTCCTTCTCCTCCTACCCCCCTCCCCCCCTTGTGTCCTCGCCCTCAACAGTGAGAGGATTAGGAAAGTGCCACTTTCGTGAGCATGGTGCAGGTCAGCGACAGGAACGCGCCAACTTTCCTGCATCGACCAGCGTTCCCGTCTTCCGCGGTATCCACCAGGGTGGCGCTGAAAGACAGCCCGCTTTTTGCCATTTGGGGCCAGCTTCCGGCCCCGAGGCCGTCAAAACGCAACCCAGGATGAACTGCTGGTCCCCGTGCAGGTGTGCAGAGCGCCAGGGGGGGTGGGGTGGGGGTCGAGGTGCTTTGCATCGACGGGAGATGAATGAGGAGGACCTGCGCGAGCGACATCCTGTCCCTGCGGGTGCCTTGGCGCCTCACCCCCCCTGCGAGGGGGCGAAGGGAAGAGTGAGGAGGAAAGACAAGAGAACGAGAGGGCTGTATTACGTATATTCATACAGTTGTTATCGATGCCGGTCATACACATATATGCATATATGTACCTATACGACCACCCTTCGGGTGATAAGGAGGTTCGGGGGGGGGAGGAACCAACGTCTCACTCGATCAGTCTCACTATCGATCTCACTATCGATCTCAGTATCGGTCTCGCTCGATCGATCTCCCTCGATCGATCTCACAATCGATCTCACAATCGATCTCACTCGATCTCACTCGATCTATCTCACACTCGATCTCACTCGATCATCATCATCATCATCATCATCATCATCATCATCATCATCATCATCATCATCATCATCATCATCATCATCATCATCATCATCATAATCATTAGCATCACCATCATCATCATCATCAGCATCAACATCAGCATCAGCATCATCAGCAGCATCATCATCAGCATCACCATCATCATTATCATCATCATCATCATCATCATCATCATCATCATCATCATCGCGGGACACCGCGGGACACTGGCGGGACACCGCGGGGCACCGCGGGACACCGCGGGACACCGTGGGACACCGGCGGGACATCGCGGGCCACCGGCCGCCCGGAAGGGAGACATTTGGTCCGGCCGCGCCTCAGCCACACGGGACACCAGCGGGACTCCGGCGGGACACCGCTGGCCACCGGCCGCCCAGAAGGGAGACATTTGGTCCGGCCGCGCCTCAGCCACAGGAGACTTTCTTCTCGCCCGCCCACGCAGCTTCGCCTCGCCCGCACGCACGGCACGCACGAACACGAAACCGAAATCGATTTCCCGGTAGGGGGGCTCTCCGTTCCACTTCGATCTCACCCCCTCACCTCCGATGCATATAGGTATGTAGGCATATATATATACATGTATATGTATGCATCTATCAACGTATACACATGTACAAGCATACGTATGCAGCTGTATGATATAGACATGTGCGTATACATGTATATGCATGTGCGCATATATGCATAAATCTATATATATATATACACATTACAATCCGAGCTTGCCCCTGTAGGAGTCCTAGCGGATTCATATGGTTAGGTGAGGTGTGTCACCGATTTCCGCGGCCGGGGTGCCTGATAGCCCTATAGCCCTGTAGCCCTATAGCCCTATAGCCGTATAACCCCATAACCCCATAGCCCAATAGCCCTATGGCCCTATAACCCAATAGTCCTATAGTCCTATAGCCTTATAGCCGTACTGCCCTATAACCCTATCGCCCTAGAGCTCTATAGCTTTACAGCCCTATAGCCCTATGGCCCTATAGCCCACTTGCCCTATAGCCCCATATCCCTATAGCCCTATAGCCCCATAGCCCAATAGCCCTATAGCCCTACAACCCTATAGCCCTATATACCTATAGCCCTTTAGCCCTTTAGCCTTATAGCCTTATATTCCTGCGGCCCTATCGCCCTACAGCCCTATAGCCTTATAACCCCATAGCCCCATAGCCCAATAGCCCTATGGCCCTAGTCCTATAGCCTTATAGCCGTACAGCCCTATAGCCCTATCGCCTTAGAGCCCTACAGCTTAATAGCCCTATAGCCCTATGGCCCTATAGCCCACTTGCCCTATAGCCCCACAGCCCTATAGCCCTAGAGCCCTACAGCCCCATAGCCCAATAGCCCTATAGCCCTATAGCCCTAGATCCCTATAGCCCTATAGCCTTATAACCTTACAACCCTATGGTCCTATCGCCCTATAGCCCTATAGCTATGTATGCCTATAGCCCCATAGCCCCATAGCCTCATAGCCCTATATTCCTATAGCCCTATATCCCTATAGCCCTATTGCCCTGTAGCCCCATGACCCTATAGACTCATAGCCCTAACTATGGCCCTATAACCCTATAGCCCCATAGCCCCAGAGCCCCATAGCCATACAGCCCTATAGCCCTACAGCCCCGTAGCCCTTGGCCGTATAGCCCTATAGCGCTAGAGTCCTATAGACCTCTAGCGCTATGGCCCCTATAGCCCTATAGTTCCAAAGCCCTATAGCCCTATGACCCCACCGCCCTATAGCCCCTTAGCCCTGTAGCCCTGAAACCACTGTGATTCGTGTTTTTTCTCCGATCTCATGCATATCTCTATGTATGTATATATGTATGTAATGTAATGTAATGTAATGTAATGAAATGTAATGTAATGTAATGTAATGTAATGTAATGTAATGTACTGTACTGTAATGTAATGTAATGTAATGTACTGTACTGTAATGTAATGTAATGTAATGTAATGTAATGTAATGTAATGTAATGTAATGTAATGTAATGTAATGTAATGTAATGTAATGTAATGTAATGTAATGTAATGTAATGTAATGCAATGCAATGCAATGCACTGTAATGTAATGTAATGTAATGTAATGTAATGTAATGTAATGTAATGTAATGTAATGTAATGTAATGTAATGTAATGTAATGTAATGTAGGTAGGTATGTAGGTAGGTAGGTAGGTAGATATGTAGGTAGGTAGGTAGGTAGGTAGGTAGGGAGGCAGGCAGGTAGGTAGGTAGGTATGTATGTATTTATGTATGAATGTATGTATGTGTGTATGTATGTATGTATGTATGTATGTATGCATGTATGTATGCATGCATGTATGCATGTATGTATGTATGATGCATGTATGTATGTGTATATATATATATATATATATATATATAAGCTACGAGTGCATGTACGTACATGTATATGCTAGCCACCGCGGACCTCAAACGGTCTGTTTGTACCAAGCTCTGGATGGGGGGAGTGATTGCGTCTGAATCTCATGGGGTGGGGTTCCGATGTAATCCTAAGCCTCTTGCTGGCTTCTTGGGTCTTGGGGTCTTTCGGTGGGCTTCTCGGGGGTCTCTTGGAGCCATGCTTGGGGCCTCTTGGGGGCTTCTTGGGGTTTCTCGGGCGCGTCTGGTGGTTCTCCGAGGGCCTCTTGGGGGCCAGTTGGTTGTCCAGGCAACTTGGGGGCCTCTCTTGGGGCGCTCTTGGGTGCGTCTTGGGCCCACTTGGAGGGCTTCTTGGGCAGTCTTGGGGTCATTTTGGGATGTGTACGGGCCCTCTTGGGAGCCTCTTCGGCTGTCTTGGGGCGATCTGTGTGACCTCTCGGGCCGTTTGTGGCGGTCGGAGCATAGAAAACGCGAGAAAGCCACACATCATAGAAAACCCACGCAACACGACTTGCTTCTGTCTCTTGGCGCTCTCTTGGGGTCCTCTGGGTGCCTTCTCGAGGCGTCCGAGAGGCTCTGGAGCAAGCTGGAGGCAATCTGGGGATGTCCCCGATTGTTTCGGAAGCCCCTGGGGAGACCCATCTGCAGTCTCGGGCGGGGACTCGTTCGGGGGAGGGCCTCAAGCAATCCGTGATCATTTTTGGGGGCTGTCCGGGGCTCTGGAGGGGGGTGTTGGCGTGTGGTGTGGGGGGAGGGTCTGCACATCTGTTGGGGAGGGGGGGCAGGGATCTGGGTGTTTTTTTTTCAGTGGATAACGAATACAGATCTATCGATTCATATACACATGTATATACACATCTATATATATATATACACACTCATACACATTTATATGTATATATACACCGATCTTTATATGTACACATATATTTATATATATATATATATATATATGTATATACACATTTGTACGTGTGTGTATATGTGTGTATATATGTATATGTGTGTGTACGCACGGTTATATGCACATCTATCGGTTTTCATGTATGTGTATGTACATACCTACGCGTATGTATCGCTGCAGATATGCATGCATCTGGATATGCATGCATGCGCTTACATTTGAACACGTATCGGTCTATCTATATGTTTATATATATATATGTCTCTATCGATGATCAGTGTTCAAGCACACACATACACATTTCTATACCTCACAGGGAGAGAGAGAGAGAGGAACAACAGACAAGCAGAGAAAACAAGAGAGCGATAGAGGTATGCATTCGCAGCGTCGCGGTCCATTGCACGACCGTGTCTGGGCCGTCGGGGAGCTCTTTGGGGTCTTTTGGAGGCCTTCCGGGCGCCTGCTGGGGGGGCTTTCGAGGGCTTCTGGGGGGCAGTAAGGAGTGCATCTTGGAGGCGAGAGTCGCAGCGGTCTGGCGGTGGCGCACTTTCTTGGGCCCTGTTTGGGCCGTCTGGAGGGGGAGGGGTCTTGCTCGGGAGCCTCAGGGGTCGTACGCTGGGGCGATCTGAGGTGGGAGCAGCTGGCGGTGCTCGACCGCATCAAGGACTGGGAGGCGGAGCTGACCATATGA